TTCCTGTTCTACGAATACATTAGAGTATTGTCTACAGAGGACTAATACAGACCATTTTATTACTGACTATTCTTTATGGACAAAGCAGACTGAAGGTGGCAGGTTTGTATCGCTTGGATTTCCTGGGTGTACACTCTAGCTATGAGAACAAGGACTCCCAATTATGGTACACACACATTTTACATCTGATCATTTGATAATCCAAATGGTGAAATGAAGCCCAAACCACAGAGGTTGGAAACATTTTTGTAGGGGTTTATAGCATGTTTGATACGGTCATTCAATTAGAAATTTGTTCCATTGAGTCAATATTTATGGCACTACAGACACTGAAATACCACCATGTACATGACCAGCACAAAGAGTTCAAGAACAGTGCATAATTGGCCATTCTTAAAAAGAAAACTATTTTAAAGAGCCCATTCACATGTATGCTTTGAGGTAACACCAATGCTTTCTTTTTACATGGCACCGAAGTGCACCATTATATTAGCAGGCAATGAACCTGCACTGCAACACACATGCCACGCACTGCAAATACACTGTGTTAAAAAAGCAATGTCCCATTTACTGGCAACAGGTAACTGATAATACAATGCACAATGTGATTGTGGCCAAAGCAAAACATCTCTTTAGATGGAAGTTAACATATTTACAGAGTCACTGCTCTGCAACTAGTATGCAGTCCACCAGTTGGGCAATGGCTGCTTCAAACAGAACCTCTTTACATGGGCATTTTATTCAGTACATTGGCCATGCCTGCGCAGTAGCTCTCCAAAGACTTCAATGGGACCACAGGATCAAGGTATCTGCATCTACAGAGGTGAGGCACCAAAAAGGGATATTTCATTTGGTTTAAAAAAAGTGCACTTATACTTTTAAAATAAGGACCCATACACATGGATGTAAATACAGACATATAGTGTAAAATACGCCATTATTTGCAGCGCCTGGGAGCCAAAGCTGCTGTTATTCTGTCTATAGGAATATATGGACAGAAAACGCTGTACATGAGTGTAGGCGTGTAATCACCCGGTAGATTCCAGAATGTGAAACTTCTGGGTACGGGAACTTACGCCCATCCCTGTGTTAATACTACCGGTAGTATTGGTGTTAAAAGCACATACAGCATTTTCTGTTAATACATTCCTATGAACAGAAAACGCGGCATCTGGGGCTCTCAGGCTGTGAAAATGACTGAGCGATTACATACCGCTGATCACTGAGCTCACGGCTTCTCCCTGTAGAGAACAGTGACTGCCCATCACTCCCTCCCCTTGCTCAGTTCCTCCAGCCCCTCCCCTGTCTGTTCCTCATTGGAGGGACAAAGCGGGAGGTGGGCGGGCACAGCTGGCTCTGACTCTAATGAGGCAGAGCCAGCAGGGTGGATCCTGACCATATTGCCAGGATCTTTCCCAGCTGCAGCACGGCTCTGCACTGTTAGAATATAGTGGGCAGAACCCCGATATATATGCTGACTTTGGATCACAGGAGGACATTAGTAAATGTCCTCCTGTGACCCAAAAAGAGAACTAAAGCCAAAAAACTGTCTGCTCATACCGATAACTTAAAAAAATGCATCCCCAGTAACTCTTTAGATGTGTATGCTGCTTGCTCACACAGCTTACAGATTCACTACAATACAATATTAAAGCACAATTTGTAACTGTCATACTATACTAAAACACTCTTGCATCAAAACGTAAAACACAGAACTAAATGTAGCATCCAAAAAACGAGGATTTTCTTTATCAAGTTTATTACCAGAGATTGGCCTGGGGAATCAGGTCCACCTGGCAGCTTCATGGATAAACAAACAACTTGCCTATCCACAGAGATACATGGGATGCCTGATTTTATGAATTTAGTTGTTTTTTTCTGCCATATTTCACTGACTTCTGCCCTATACAAGAGTGAAAGAACTTATCCCAAAGATACACTCATTCTTTAAGCTGGCCGTCCACATCATTATGGCATGAGAACATTTTCTGTATCACTATGCAATATTCTCTTTATGTAGGTTAAGATTGTGCAAATAAAACACAATCTTTTGAGACCAGCAGCCCTTACCGGTGGTGTTGCAAGAATCTGATGTACATTTATATCCAAATGACCAGAAAGATCCATCCCTTCCTACTGCTTGTTTATAAGTATTAAAGCAGATCTAAAGTCCTATTGAAAATCATTGCTGGCAGGCAGGTTTTATTGCAGAGGAGACTAGGTCTCTTGCAAAAAGAAAAATGTAAAAAAAAAAAAAACAGCCAACAATGTTTTTTCCCCCTAAGGCCTGGTTCACACCTGGGCGTATTGCATATGCGCGTCTGTCGCGCGGTTTTTTTACCGTGATTCACGGTAAAAAAATTGCGCGACAAATGCGCGTTTCCGAGGGCTACTTGGCTGTATCCCAATGGAAACAAAAACGGCCCAAAGTAGTGCATGTACCTTTTCAGGCGTGGGCCGTTTTGTAGCGCGTTAGGGACGGGCGGAAATACGCCAAGGTGGGAACCAGACCATTGAATACAATGTGATTTACATTTTTTAGCGTTTTGTCGAGCGTAGAACGCGCTACAAAACGTTCAGGTGTGAACGAGGGCTAATACACTGTGCCGCACATGCCCGTTCCCAGCATTTCCTGGGATTAAAGAACTCCCCTGTTTATGTGGGAATTAAGTTAACCCGGGCCAGACAATAAAGATGGCTAAAAACACTGAAACCAGAAGCCCAGTCTAGAATGTCCAGTCACAAGGGAGTGGCGATGGATATCGCAGTTGTAGCAGCACTGAAGGTCCCTTTGGCAGGTACATTTGCTGTTATGTGCCAAAAAGCTGTGCATACTTATACATTATGGCAAAAAGCCTTGGGTGCTGTCAGCAGAGTTTTATTCCGCTTTAACAGGAGGTAAATCGGACACACTCATTAAACAGTTTCTGATCAGTTTGGTGTATGGCCAACTTAAAGAACTATTGCAAAATGTAAACAATAATGTATAGTGTAAGAGACAGCATTACCTGTTTTTTTTTTATGTTTTACTAGCCAATCACAATGTATATGACTTGTCTTCCTGAGTTAGCATTGTAAAAAAAAAAATCATAATAGGCTTACAGAAAGACAGGCTGGCCATTATGCTCTATGGCAGGAAGACAATCATAGGCAGTACAGTGAAAGAATGCATTGCTTTTGCAAGCCGTATGAAAGCTTGCTAACCATATGTTAACCATAACAGCTTGCTAACCATACATTTTTTTAATGCTATGCACAGTAATGCATGAATGCAATTGTAGTGTTATTTGTTCAGATTTAGGCCCCTTTCACATGGCATCAGTTTAGACCCAGTTACCCCCGCCTCTGGCCGGGTCCGGTAATACAAACAGAGTTGCGCCAGACCGGGGGTAATCTGGTGTAAATGTCCGTTTACATCCGATTCCCCATATACTTTGGCTGGAGCTGGGCTTAACATTCTCCTCCCTGCAGACAGTCATGGTACATTTCTGCTAACCAGTAACTATCTGAAGAGGAAAAAGTGGTTACACTAAGGAGGGCATATATATTACAATAAATTGAAAATCAAGTATTGAATAGATCTGCTACTTGTAAAATTGTGTAGTGGCTATCCTTTAAAGTAAACCTGTCATTGCAATAAGCTTTCCAAACTAGGAATAGCCACAAGGCGCCAAGTGGTACTGTTGGCTTTTTAAAATGTTGCTGTAGAAGACCCTATACCCAGGGCAGCTGCAATGTGACACATATCGACTTTTGTAAATGTTTGTGCTGAGACAAGCTTCTTTCCATGGCACAATGCAATGTGACCACCGTTTAACAGGTTGCCAAGATGTCCCCTTTGCAATTTGGGATACAGAGGGATGTGCTGCATTAGCAATAATTTAGGAATTGTTGGTGTATTCTCTTCAGCCATATTTGGAATAGTCTGTTGTAATGACAGGGTTACTTTAAAGCCCAGCTGTGCCTTACACAAAATAAATAAAAACTGAGGGTGCTAAAACTAGAAATCCTACATATTTTGACTTTTTTTTTCATGGCATCCACCTTGCAGTCTGTGCTCGGCGAGAGGGAACAACGCTCCCTCTGATCAGCAGGGAGCACACGTTTTACAGATTGCTTAGCTCTAGCTCAGTGATGGGTGTGTTAGACTGCTGCAGAGAGAACACTGCTTCCACACAGAGTGTAATAGTCATCTCTGCAGCCTACTTGCTGGGCACAGACTTTGAAGAGGCGTGCTTAACATATATTATGTGTAATTATGATGATGATGAAGGATGCACCGATACTAGTATCGTATCGGTGCCTAGCACGAGTACTTCCTGTATCAGGTTTCCTGATTGGCCGGGAGCGGCTCCATGCTCTCTCATCACCTGTGATGAGAGAGCATGGAGCCGACTTCCCGGCTAATCAGGAAGCCGGGCAGCGTGTAATGACGCAGCGCCCGGCATTCTGATTGGCCGGGAAGCTGGCTTTATGCTCCCTCGTCATCTCATGACGAGGGAGAATGGAGCCGGCCTCCCGGCCAATCAGAAAGCAGGGCATCGCGTCATTACATAGCGCCCGGCTTCCTGATTGGCTGGCCTGACGGCTCCGGCTGGGTACTGGAGGAAAGCCCGCGTTCAGGTATACAACAGGTAAGAGGGGACTTTTTTGTTAATCGGGAAGCCGGGTGGCGAGTCTTTACACGCTACCCGGCTAATCAGGAAGCCGGGTGGCGAGTCATTACACGCCACCTGGCTTCCTGAATAGGACTTCCGTTACTCGGTAATTGGTATCTGCGAGTACCAAAAAAAAAATGTATCGGTACTCGTAACCAAATTACCGGTATCGGTGCATCCCTAATGATAATAATATTCAAGTCATAACATAGTAAGAATTTGCAGGATGAGTGTTTTCAGCACCTTACTATTAAATTTCTGTAGAATGTACAGTTGGGCTTCCAGTCCCTGCTCTAGGATTTTTGCAAGAAAAATAATTAACCAATAATTTACCGGAAAGCCTAATGCAAAACAAAGCAAAAAAGGAGGTAAGAAAAGGCCAAATAAAATTATATTAGATCCCATATATTTGAAACACATAAAATGTCCCTACCCATTATAATTATATTAAAAAGGTCTGCTCTGTTGTGCACAATTTAGAACAAATCCATTGTTTGGAGGGGCTAGAAAAAGAACAAAAAAACAAAAAACAGGAATGATAGATTATTGTCCTACTTTTACATTCAGAACATGAACAATATTTATATCCGATGACACAAAATAGAACCTCCTATGCGTTCCAGATCCCCATAAAGAACTAAATGGGAGAAGTCATTTTTATAACATTGTATAAAAACATGTTTGATTCTTGAGTCTCAATAAAGATAAGAATAAAGGTAAAGTATAAAATCCAGATTTATACAACGTTTCATTTCTGTACACTGAAGTTCAAGTCTGAAGGTTTCCCTCGATGAACGCAGGAAAAATACTGTGCGGAAAGGTGCCAGTCACATGATATAAGTCCCGTCCTTGTAATATTTGATGGTGTCCATCTGTTGTGTCATGACCAAGACTTCTTGGAAACCTGTGCTAAGGCCAGACATGTGCTGGAAGTAGGCTTCCTTCTCCACTTGGACAGTTAGGTTATTGACTCCAGCGTCTTTCAGTATTGCGGTTACCTGACACAGAAAAAGGCAAAGGTTACAGGATTCTAGTCAGAGCCAAAATCAATAGTAATCTTCATAACTTGGGGTATAGCAAAAAAGGAAGACAAAAAGAAAAAAAAAAAACACCTTTAAAATCAAGTTGCTGCACACCAAAAATAAAGGTTTTTTGTCCCCCCCAAAAAAACTCCACAAATAAAAACAATGCACTTAAAAACATGCCCACTTAAGTCATAATGAATACCCCCGTAAAACAGTAAACTACCTCCGCAACACAAACAAACACACGTGAAAAGGTTTTAAGTGGTGTGTGTGGAACACAAAACTCAGGAGATTAATCTTACAAATGCGTTCCTTGGAGTGAGCTTGGAGCGGTGGCTACTTGACAACACACACAGGGACCAATGGGAACAAAAGTAGCCACCCTCCAGAAGGAAGGACAGTGTCAGCACCAATTCAGAGATGATTTGAGGATCTACAGCCGAGTGATACACAAATAAGATACATTTTTGTTCATATTTAAGGCATGTCAATGCATTTTTAGGATTTAACTCCTGAGTTTAGTGTCAGCTAAAATGTAAGCAACATGAGCAATGGCAAGCACATGTCGAGAATTATAGATACACAAATAAACTACATTTTTGTTAATAGGGTATTTGAATGCATTTTTAATATTTAATTTCTGAGTTTAGTGTCATTTTAATATTAGACAATATAAGGAATGCTGATAAAAGTCACATACGCACGTCATGACCCAGTAATGTAGAACAGAATGGATGCTGAAAGTAAATCTCAAGGCATTGCAGTAATTACTCCACACCGTAGCTTCATGTTACAGTTTATTTTAAAAATGAGTGTGGTGCGATGTCTGTGGTGTCCTCTGCATAGCGCTACAGAGAAGTTATGAGACATGTTTCCTTCTGCTGCCAGCACTCCATCCCCTAATGGTACTGCTTAATAAAATGAACCCATATGAGGTACTTTAGCAGTAAAAAAACTTGTAGATCTGGCTAGGAAATATGTTGTGGGCCAGTACACTAATTAAATAAGGATATGCATGTGCCTTCTATAGCTGCCCACACACCTTACAATGTATCTGCAGATTTTCTATGGTCAGATGGAAAAGGTGCAACAGATTCCTCCATCTCCACTTAGCTGTGTGGATGGAGGAATCTCCACCTGGGCCAATCTGTTGCACTTTTTCCATCTGACGACAGAAAATCTGCAGATAAATTGTAAGGCGTGTGGGCAGCTTAAGGGAAGAAAGAAAACATCGGCCAATGTGTGACCACAACTTAATTGGAGCTTTACCTGTTGGATGATCCTCTGCTCTACAACATCAGACATCACTTGTACATGTATAGTCCCTGCAATAATTAAAGCGGAGTGACGCCAAAAATGAGGATCCCGATAAGAAATGAGACCATCAATCTTCGATATCTAAAAGGGAGAGAAGTACATTTTAACTTACTGTGAAAAGTGAATGCAACATTTTTGCCTTTATTTTGCATTCAAGAAATCTGCAGCTTAGAAATATGAAAATAATGTTTCTAGAAAACATATACACCATGCATGCATGAAACACGGCAATTTGGTGTGAAAGCAGCAAACTGCTGGTGTAATAACCATGAATCCTCATGGCGAGTCTCTGCAGCCTCCTAACACCCTCTAGTGGTCAGCTGTATCAAGTCATTAGGAAATACAGGAAGGGTCCATTCACACTGCTGGGTTCTGCTAATTAAACAGTATCTGTGCAATTAGCGCACATTAATGCACCTAACTCATGGTTCCTGCATTGTGCGATTAGTGCATTGCGGTTGGGGTAATGGGCCCCAAAGGTCAGTGTTGACAGGCTTTTGTTTATTTTAAATCTTCGCTCCCTAAACAAATATAAGAGATTGTAAAAACCATTTAAAGCAGGTCAGAAGGAGGTCTACAGCAGGCCAAATGCACCTGCAATGAATTCTAACTGGTCTTAGAAGCATCTCCAAATTATGTCAAACTGATGTCATAAAACACAAGCCCAAAGCTGGTCAACACAGGCCTAAGGCTGGGTTCACAACATTTTCTGGACCAGAACCGGAACGCAGTGCATCGCGTTTTTTACAGCGATTTTGCCACATTCCAGAACTGTTTTTTTTTAAGCTTAAAATGGGCTTTCAGTGTCCAGCTGTACCTTCTTTAGTAGAAAGCTACAGCAATGGCAAGCTAGAGTCATCTTTCCTCCTGGCTTCAATCTGAAATATGCCCCTCTGGCTCCCATCTTCCCCTCCACAGCTAGGTCACTCCTTTCAGTCTTACCTTCTCCAGGGCGATGTTTATCCCCTTCTCTATTTCTGGAGGGATCCGCAAGAGGATCACCTCGCAAGAATCTTTCAGCAGAGGGATGACACTTCCGAATATCAGAATAGCAATGAAGAGTGAGCAGAGAGGATCAGCAATCAGCCAGCCAAACTGCCGAATCAGAATGGTGGAGACTATCACACCCACACTGCCTAGAGTGTCTGCCAGTACATGGAGAAACACACCTGGATGGCAAAACAAGAACCTTCCATGTTAGATAGAAATTCATCACCTTCTAAACAATTACATTTTTGTCATATTCAGCTTCTAAGTTGCTTTCTATTCCTGTTCTGGTGGCACCTCAAAATGTATCAATATATATTTGTATGTAATATACACTTTTATTTTTACTCCCAACTACAAGTCATGTCATTTTTGTCTATTGCCAGTGTAATCTATACTCTGTGTATCCCAGACATCGAGGGCCAATATTACAGATGTGCAGTGACTGCTTCGTCCGTACTCCGAGAAGTAGGCAAGACCACGAGGGTTTCCCTAAAGCTGACCACACACCTATAGATTTTTTTTATCAGTCTATGGTCAGATGGAAAAAGTGCAACAGATTCCTCCATCTACACTAAACTGTGTGGGTGGAAGAATCTCCCACTGGGCCAAGCTCCAGCATCTTGCTAGTCGGCCCCGCTGGCTCTCAAAACACCCTAACAATGCCGGCATCCAATCAGATTGTTCAGGTATTTTGACAGCCAGTGAATATTTGAATGTGACAGGAGAGCAGAGGGATTACCTCATCAGTGTGCCCCTTCACTGTCTAATCAAATGAAAGGGTGGGTCCTGGGCCATGCAATACTTCTTAACTGTAGTGTACTCTGCAGGGAGTTCCAGAAAATGCAAGTACCGTCAGGCAAGGGTACCTGGATTATATGGCTGAATTGAATTACAAATTATTTAGCAATCAAAACAGTTCACATATACTGTATGTATATTATTTGTGTGTCTGGAATTGAGGTTTCATGTATGGCAGGTATTGAAGAGCGTATAACTAAGCTCCATTTTTACTAAGGACAATAAAACACTCCCAGCTCTCGGAAAATGTCAGAGACGACTTTGCACATTTGGTGCAACATCCATGAACAATACATTAATTCCATACACAAGCTCCAACATAAAAAGTGCTTAGTGCTTCCTTTGCCATGTACCTACCACGCATGTTGGCATTCATCCCTCCACTGGATCCATGAGAATGCCCATGATTGTGAGTATGCCCATGGTCGCTATGTGAATGGCCGTGTCCATGCCCGTGACTGTGCCCGTGGCCATGGTGAGAGTGGCCGTGAGACTCGTGAGAGGAACATCCACCTCTTGATCCCCCATGGGAGTGGGCGTGGCTAAAGGCACAGATACCAACAAGGTTGACCAGCAGACCTCCAACCGAGACCGGCTGCAAAACGAGAGGAAAAAAAAGGATCAGTGAGAGTAAAAGGAAGACGCAGGATGATTTAGGACAAAACAGTTTAAAATGACATAGCACTGGCTTTCTACACTTGGTAAGTACATGGACACTTTCATACCGTAATTGCCCTCACTAATGCCAAAATACTCAAATTAAAAGGACTGAGTACAAGGTTTGGTTCATTTCATAAGGTATTCAAATTGTGGTACTGTTAAACCAAAATTAAATGACAGAACACAATTTATACCAACATGCAATACAAGAGGTAGAAACTTAGGTTCCTACATTGGATGTATTCAATATATATTAAGGGAACAAGAAGGAAGCTGCATACCACTGAGAAGATGCCAATTTCTAGTTTGTACAACAATACATGGTGTGAAAAGTGTGAGCTTCCAGCAGTTACTATGAGCATAGATGTGATCTAACAGGAACAGAGCAAATCTTTGCACCTTGGCGTATGTGTGGAACTCTGTGTATTGAGTTACACCACAAGCCCATGCAGTGCAGAGGTAGATATGAATGAAGAATTAGCATGCTGATATTTGGGACATTATTCCTTTCTCTCTCTATCAATGGCAGCTGGATTTATTACTTAAATTGATGGCCAGGGCAATTGGAGAACACAAGGATTTATTTAGACAAGTTTGCTAAAAAAAACATCCAGTGTGAGGAAGGACAATCAGTGCATCACTGTCCACACCACTTACATACATTGGCAGAGTTAGAAAGAAGATACTGGAGATATCAATGCTTTGGTGGTACGTCTGAGTAGACATATCCCCACGACTTGATGTTACGTTTTTAGGCAATACTTACTGTTAACATATCTGTATTGATATCTGGAGGATCAAGGATTCTCGCTATAGCCTCGATAAACACAAAGAACGCTATCACCACAAGGAAGAGTCCATTAATGAATCCAGACAGTATTTCCACACGGCCAAACCTAAAATGGTATGGGACAAAAAATAAATAAATGTATTAATCCCATCGCAGACATTATAGATCTTCCTCTGCAAGTTTCAACATCAATACTCCAAGCAACAAACATGTGGGATTTAACACTATGCTATAGTTCATAGTTAATGTCTCCTTATGCAAAACTGGTTCGCCCACATCACCCCCTCCCCTTACAATTACTGCATTATAGCTGGAAACAGAAAAAAGGGAACTGTGGATGCCTAGGCGAGATTCTAAGCAAATGTAAAGGGTTACAAATTGCTGCGCCCTACTGGAGAGTCTTACGGGAGAGTGCACATACTGGAGTCTTACGGGAGAGTGCACATACAGGAGAGTCTTACGGGAGAGTGCACATACAGGAGAGTCTTACGGGAGAGTGCACATACTGGAGAGTCTTACGGGAGAGTGCACATACTGGGAGAGTGTTACGGGAGAGTGCACATACAGGAGAGTCTTACGAGAGAGTGCACATACTGGGAGAGTCTTACGGGAGAGTGCACATACAGGAGAGTCTTACGGGAGAGTGCACATACAGGAGAGTCTTACGGGAGAGTGCACATACTGGAGAGCCTTACGGGAGAGTGCACATACTGGAGAGCCTTACGGGAGAGTGCACATACTGGAGAGTCTTACGGGAGAGTGCACATACTGGAGAGTCTTACGGGAGAGTGCACATACAGGAGAGTCTTACGGGAGAGTGCACATACTGGAGAGTCTTCTTGTGATGTTTGATATTCCCAGGATCTAACCAGGAGGATTGTGATGTGCCCCTCCCATGTAGAAGCCGGCTGTATGGCAAGTATATTTTCTATCCTTTCTCTACAAGTGTTTCCTATGGTTGCAATGCAGTGATTATACATGGGGGTCCAGTAATGAATAAACAGATCTTCCATTTGTATAGTCTGCGTTTATGTAAAACAGTCATGACAGAATGGAAAAACAATCCCGCTTTGTATCTGCCAAGGTATGGATTAAACCTCAACTCTGAGCAAAAACAGATACACTATTTAAACTAATATGTATGCACTGTTTTACCTGTCACAGGATTTGCAATTCTGCAAAGCTAGTCTAGTAAAACCAGACACCCCTGACTGACCTGATCCTGGACCTCTCAGCTCACAGCTAAATTCTATCTAAGGGCTTGTTCACACCATATGCAGTCCGTTCAGTTTAACTGCTGCAGCCAAAATACATCACAATGCTTTCCTATGGGCGGTCTCGTGCAGACCATTGCAGTCTGTTCAGATGCAGTCAGAAAAAGTATTGCGCTTCCTATTTTAGCTGCATCTGATTGAGCCGAAAGGCATCAAAACGCATCAGAACGCATGCAAACACATCAGAACGCACACAAAAAACCCCACAGGATTGTGGCATCATTCATGGACATCCAGGGAAAAACGCATTTGAACGCTTCAAAAACGCATCAAAACAGATCACAATGCAACTGCGCAGCAAAACTTTTTTCCAGTTTGGATAGAGTAGCGAGGAATAAAACTGCTGAAATTTTTTCCCCCATTTGTGTCTTATTAGGGAGATTTCCTTGAATCCTCTGTCCTGTGACTCAGCAGGAGAGGATATCTGTCCAATGTGAGGAAAATACCCTCTTAGACAGCTGTCACAAGAACAAGTGTCCCCATTAGAAGATTTGCTTTCTATTCCTGTTCTGGTGGCACCTCAACATTTTGGATTTTCCCTCCTTTTATTTCAGGCGACACTAGTGTTGTGGGGCTGTGTTGTAAAGTAGCCACCGCTCCAAGCTCGCTTAGTAAATTAAATGTGAGATTGTAGTCCATCACAGGAGTGAGCTTGGAGCGGTGACTACTTTACAACACACACAGGGACGATGGGGAACAAAAGTAGCCCCCCTCCAGAAGGAAGGACAGTGTCAGCATCAATTCAGAGATGATTTGAGGATCTACAGCCGAGTGATACACAAATAAGGTACAGTATTGGTAAATGTTTAGATACTTGAATGTATTTTTAAGATTGACCTCCTGAGTTTAGTGTCACTTGAAGTTATACTTTAAGCCACAGTCCTGGTTTCATCCCAGCCAGTGCCTGGACAATAAAAGGAACAGCAGCACACCGATAGGGTTGTCACTACATTTCCCCTCCTATAAGCATGCTCATGTGCACTGTGTGCAGCAAAAAAGCCCCGATTGGTGCAGCTCCTTCCTCTCTCACTGTGAGTGCTCTTGTGCAGGGATCATAGAAGTCCAGAGTCAAAACAGATTCAGGTACTTATTATTATTAATATTATACAGGATTTATATAGCGCCAACAGTTTGCACAGCGCTTTACAATATAAGGAAGACATTACAATTCAAGACAAGATGGTAAGGAGGGCCCTGCCCATGAGGCTTACAATCTAAAAAGGAGGAGGTAAGTGATACATGAGGAGGTAGCTGTGTGGGGATGAATTGTTTGAGCACGTGATGGTTGAGCGGTTAGGGTGAGCTGGGATAGGCTTCCCTGAAGAGATGAGTCTTTAGGGAACGCCTAAAGGCAGTCAAGGTGGGAGACAGACAGGTTGGGGTAAAAAGTTCCAAAGGATAGGAGAGACTCTACAGAAGTCCTGGAGGCAAGCATGGGAGGAGTTGACAAGGGAGCTGGAAAGCAGGAGGTCTTGGGATGAGCGGACGGTTAGGGTGATACTTTGAGACAAGGTTTCAGATATATCTGGGGGCAGAGTTGTGAATGGCTTTGTAAGTGATTAATAGTTTGAATTTGATCCTTTGGGCGAGTGGAACCCTTGTAAGTCGCGGCGGCGTGCTCTGCGGGCGTGTGTCCGGCTTGTGTGGTGGGCGTGGCGTCCACGGCGTGTGTAGCGTAACTCGTACCTGTTCCACCACAGCACCTCTGTACTCCTGTTCCACAACAGCACCCCCACACAACTATTCCACCACTGCACACCCATACACCTGTTCCACCGCTTCACACCTATACACCCGTTTCACACAGCACCCTTGTACACCTGTTCCACCACAGCACCCCAAAAACCTATTCCACCACATCACACTCACACACCTGTTCCACACTGCACCTCCATACCCCTTTTCCACCACCACACCCCCGAACACCTATTCCACCACTGCACCCCTATACACCTATTCCACCACTGTCTCCCCACACAGTACACCTGTTCCACCACAGCACCCCCACACACCTATTCCACCACTTCACACCCATACACCTGGCCCACACTGCACCCCCATACACCTGGCCCACACTGCACCACCGTACACCTATTCCACCACTGACTTACTTTCAGAAGGTGGGCCCTCGATTGTCAGCGGGCCAGCGGCGAGCGAGGGAGCTTGCGGTGAGGGGGAGAGCAGCGGCGTGCGCGGCTTCAGCGTCCTGTGCGGTGGGTGTGGCTTATGCGGCCTGTGGGGTGGGCACGGCGGCCGCAGCGTGTGGCTCAGGCCACGTGTGGAGCCCCGAACAGGCAAATCAATCGATAGCCGAGGAATCGACTAAATCGATTAACTGTTGCAGCTCTAGTTGCAGACACTGAACGGTTGGTTAGGTGAATGACTAGCAGACTTTGGCATGGGAAGAGGGTTAGATAGTCGTGTTAACAATCTCAAGGGAAAAGTTGGTGGAAGGTGCATGGGCGGGAGGAAATATCAAGGATTCAGTTTTTGAAAGGTTGAGTTTTAAGAAGTGTTGCGACATCTAGACAGATAGCTCAGTTAGTAGATTAGTGACACGCAAGGGCACTGAGGGGGAGAGTTGTGGAGTAGAAAGATATATTTGAGTGTCATCAGCATAGAGATGGTATTGGAAGCCATGTGAGGTTATTAACTGACCAAGGGAGGAGGTGTAGATAGAGAAGAGAAGGGGTCCAAGGACAGATCCTTGTGGGACCCCTACAGAAAGAGGAAGGGAGGAGTTAGAGTTGTAGGTGACGCTAAAGGAGCGCTAAGGGCTCAGTCACACTAGATGCAGTGCGTTCCGGTCCGATTTTGGCCGGAACGCACTGCCTCACATTGCGGCCGGCTCACTTTTTAGTGGGGTAGTAGGGGGCGTGGCGGGCCACTCAAGTGAATGGCACCATAGCCACGCCCTACCTTAGATAGGTAGGAGGAGAACCACGAGAGAGCAGAGTCTTGTAGCCCATGTGAGTGGAGTTGTTTGAGGAGGAGCAGGTGGTTAACAGTGTCAAAAGCAGCAGAAAGGTCTAATAGCAAGAGCAAGTAGTAGTGGCTATTGTTTTTAGCTGTTAGTAAGTGAATAGTGAGTTTTAGGAGGGCGGCTTCAGTGGAGTGTAGCGGGCGAAAGCCAGACTGTAAGGGGTCGAGAAGGTTGTTATCAGCGAGGTGGCGACTCAGGCGGCTGTAGATAAGGCGTTCTAGGAGTTTGGAGATGAATAGGAGTAAGGAGATTGGTCTGAGATTGTTGAGGTCGGTAGGGTCCTTTGAGGGTTTTTCGGTATTGGGGTGACCAGGGCATGCTTCAGAGGGGAGGGAAAGATGCCAGTAGAGAGTGAGAGATTGAAAATGTGAGTAAGAGAGTGTAGGACAGAGCAAGAGGGTGACCATAGCGGTGAAGGAACAGGGTCCAGGGGGCAAGTGGTGAGGTGGGTGTCAGAGAGAAGCTTTGTAACCTCCTCTGTGGTGACAGGGTCAAAAGAGGAACGTAACAAGTGTGATGGAGGATCTGGTACATGAATAGGGGAAGGTGACTGCACAGTGGCGATCCCGAATTGCATCTATTTTGTTTTTGAAATTAATTGCAATGTCCTGGGCAGTGAGTTAGTGGGCGTTGGTGGTGGAGAACATAGAAGAGAGTTAAAAGTAGAAAAGAGTTGACGAGGTATGGATGAGAGTGAGTTAATGAGAGTGACAAAATAAGTCTGTTTGCAGCACGGAGGAAGGAGTTATATTTTAGGAGGGCGGCTTTGTACAGGGTGAAGTCTTGCAGAAGCCTAGTTTTTCGCCACAGTCTTTCAAGAGCGCGGCTATGTCTTTTTCGCTGTCTGGTTTCATTTGTTTGCCACAGTTGTACTTATGCTAGTGTTATGTAAAAACCCATTTAAAACGTTTTAAAATAAGTTTGGAATTCAGCTTTATCATTTGGAGAAAAGTTGATGGTATATTTACAGTGTAGCATTATTCATATACAGCACACATTGTTGAGGCTTACAACTTCCAGTAGGCATAATGAATAACCATGAAATGTGTTCCCTCTGGCACAAATAGCAAACATATTAGGTGCCAACTGTTTTTTTTTTTATATAGACACATTGGCACCTGGGATCTGCCAAGGCTTTTCATATTTGCACTTGCTTACCCATAAGAGAAGATCCGAGTCGCCTTCCATCGAGACATTAATGCAGCAATAAGTCCCATGACCAGAGCAGAGCAATCAAACAACATGTGGAATCCATCAGAAAGCAGCCCTAGACTATTCGTCCACACTCCATAGAACAGCTCCACAAACGTGAATGCCTAAAATAAATGCACACATATTAAAAAATTATCCATAAAAAAAAAAATTGTTGGATTAATCATGATCCTTTGTGGAAAGGATACAGAGCCATAAAATACACTAAGAACACAGGTGCATATACACGGCTTTCTACTTTATGGCTCACAATAAATGTAAAATGAATTTGACCCATCCTAGTATGTTTACAATGTAATGATATTGTTCAAGTGCAGCAAATTCTGGTGTCTAAGAGCTAGTCTTTAAATCAATCCCCGAGTCCCTGTGGAGACTCTAGGGTCTTAGGCAGAGGTTGTACAGCCTGGACATAAGTCAACAATAAGCCTCCTCCCTTGATGGTTCTAAGCCCCACCTCTGTCATTCAAAGGTCAAATGCCAGAGCTTCAGTAGGCAGTAGATGTTTTGGTATGTGAACGCTGAATAATGAAGCAGAGTGTAGCACTAGGAGGGAGCAGGGTTCAGTGTTAACATGCAATGCATTAAAAAGACAGCCCAATCATTTAAATGGCCTGTATTACACACTAAAATGCACATAAAAAGGTGCAGGCACTACTAACAATGCAGCGTGCTACAACGCAAGGTAGTGCAAAACTGAGTTGTGGTACGCTGCAATTTATGCACATTAGTGTGCTGTGGTGCCATTACGTGTTACTGCAACACAGTAGTGTGAATCTGCACTTAATCACAATTTGAGGTCCCATACATAGCCTGGGCCTAGTATCCAAAGGGCTCCACTGGGAAACACATTAAGACATGATGGAAGGTTAATTGGCTCTGTATGTGTGTGTGCAATAGGGACCTTAGATTGTAAGCTCCTCAAGGGTAGGGACTGTTATGAATGTGCAGTATGTAAAGCTCTGCATAAAATTGTCAGTGCTATATAAATACCTATAATAATGAAATAAATATTTCTATAGCTAAAAAAGGATACCCAGAAGAATGAACAAATTAGATCCCACACCTGCAAATGACCTCTCTGTGTCAGGGTGAATAGATTTAGGAAAAACCCTTTAGAATGAGGGGTCAGAAGTAAACTTTTAAATTTTCTACAAAATGTATTGGTTGAAGAAAAAAAACAAAGAAAAAAAACCACAACAATAAAACCAGTGGAGCATGCAGGAAGTTCCTGGCACAAGTAAACCAGTATACCCACCATGTTTAGACACAGGAAATAGAAGATCTGCCTGGAGTCATATTCTTCGAGTATTTGTTTGAGTGAATCCTTAATAAACCTGGGCATAGATGGGGAAGTGCTGTGCAGGGCATCACCCATAAAGGTGTACAGAGGTGTGCCTTCAGGAGAATAACCAACAAGGGTGCCTTTCTGGCCCTTCCTGGATGCCGAGGATAGAATGTTTGCAGCTGCGTTAAACATATATACAAACGAATAGTAAAATGAACATGTATATATGTAAAGACGTCACTTACAGTACTGTATACATCTTATTTAATCAGACTTTGCAGTGTATACGTAGTTGCCATTTTAAAACTAACTCATATTTCGTTACTACATCAGTTTGATTAGTTCACATATAAACACATAGTAGATGTATATAAAATGAAGCGCAATCAGAAAAATGTCTCAGGAAAAAGCAGATCAGGTCACAAATGAATCCTATCATGAATTTGTACATCAAATGGCAGTGCTGCGTTTTGCATTGGAGCTTGATTTCAATTCACAAAAGGTAATCCTGGGACTCCATAACATTAGTGCAAATCTTTCTATTAATCTACATCGCAAGTACACACACCTAGTAAAAAGGTTTTTTTTGTCCACTCAGACCAACCTATTTTAAGTGCATGTACACTAAAAACAAAGGGCGTCTATATGCATGCGATGCGAAGTATTTTTCTGTGTGAACCCAATATCATAGAGTTATTCACTTCAAACTTCTGGGCTAATGGTCACCAATAGAAGCCATTGTTTTCCATACACTGCCGAGATGAGGGGCAACAAACCTGAAACCACTCCATGCACTTTGTAATAATTGGCTCTATAATATTGGGCTGTACCTGCGCTATACCCCAGAGGTTCTGGATGTATAGTAGCCATGGGGCAGGTACAGGAATGATTTGTACAACATCACTCACTATCCTAAATGGAGGAATAAACCCGTAGTTTGGCATATGTAATGCATAAGGCATATAAATACCTATTGTTTTACAAAGGTTCCACTAAAGCTGGCCATACCCTAATATTTTCTTAATTGAACCTGCAGGCTAAACAAAGAAAACAATACAGATTTCTCCATCACCCCTTACGAGCAATGATGGAGAAATCTTCCACCGGTTGCATTACCTTCTGACAGCAGCCATCGTCAGCATACCTGAATGGAGTCGGCGGCTCATTGGCTCCGTTCCTTCGAAGATTTTCTGACAGGCTCCTTCGATCAGCTGATCGAGGGATGTTGGCAACAGCACCCACTGTGCGAATTTTGGCTGGTTCATCAAGAACCGGGAGAAATTTGTATAACTAGCTTAACGGAACAAAATTCAGAGGAAACCAGCCAATCTCGCCATCCAGAAACAATACTTACACAATAAGAAGAAGATGGAGCTGACCACCACCCCTCCAGAAAGCACATGCTCAGTGCTAGGCTGGTGTGCTGGCTTATTCATGGCTCGCAGCTGATCTGTGATAGGATGAGTCCAGAAATTCCCCAGCAGCAAGGCGCTGATCACTATCAGGAAATATCCATAGCGTGCACACTTTGACACCTCCATCTTAACTAAGCAAATGGACTCCACATAGAAATCCAGAATCACAACAGAGAATATGACAGTGATAAAAGGCATTATGAGAGAGGACCAAGACTCCACTTTACTCTGTAACAGACACAGATTAAACATTAGTTAGGGAGAGCAGAGACAGGCGATTTGTGTTTGAAACATTTTCATTATTGTCATGCAGATAGTACTATCAACATCATTAATTCCATGAACGCGCAATTCAGTTCTCCCTCAGGCCTTCCTCTGCCGATTGACAGAAGAAGTGAAATTTCCAATTTGAAATAGCCAATAGCAGTCTAGCTATTCATTCCCATGCTGTTTTTTTTTTTTTACTCTGAAGGTGGCCGTTGTCAAAATAAACAAAAATAGCAAGGGAATCAACAGATAGAGAAGCTAATGCTTCCCATGCTATCTGCTATTTTTTTTTCTTTGCATTCAGACAGCGGCCCCTGTCAGAATACAAACAATAAAAAAAAACGGGTCGACTAATGTCGACTGCTGTTTGCATGCCGCTGCTGGTGCAGCTGGAGGTAAACAGAATATCAGTACCTGACATCAGTTATCGGCCTGAAAGGTGGCCAAAAATCCATATCAGTTGATCTCTAGTCAGCACCAATTCAGAGATGATTTTAAGATCTACAGCTGAGTGATACACAAATAAGATACATTTTATGTTAATATAGTTATGGTACTTGAGTGCATTTTTAAGATTTAACTCGTGTTTAGGATCCCTTTAGAACAAAAATTCACCATAAACTTTAAAGTGGACCAAAACTAGAGTCAATAGCCATTTCCCTTCAAACTGCTAACCCCTAAATTAAACTAGCAATAAGACTTATTTGTCCTGCAGCAATTATCTTCGGGATATCTGCACTTACTATTCAGTACCTTTGCCTGTCAACAGTTTCCGGCTGCAGTTCAGACCTCAAAATGATTATCAATATGGAGGTTTGGGAGGTGGAAAGGGTCAAGTTTGATATTGAAAGAAAACGCCAACATTTGTACATAAAAACATTCAACATGTAGTTTCTGAGTAAAGGTGACCAATGGTAAAACAATCATTAGTCATTTTCTTCATGTGAATATTTCAGGTGTGTGATTGGTTTATTTCAATACTAATTGCATCACCTAAATGCCACAACATACCCAGGTACTGCTGAGGACCATGGGAACTTGACAGATGTACCTAATAAAGTGAGTGCATTTTTCCATTTTTAAATCAATCGGTTTGTCTAATCAAGCTGTATATGGTCAATCACATCCTGCCAATACAGCCCGTTTCTGTTCCAAGAAAGGTGAACACTCAGTCTAAGATTAAATAACATTTCAGAAGAAGTAAAGTGTGCGGGCCAATTCAGTTATGAGACACAGATAGCTCTGCTTTTTCTCTCTTGGACTGAGCCTAATGCAATACATCCAAGCAGATGCAGTCTGGACATTTGTACAACACATAACTGAACTTGTCTGCAGATCGAGAACGTGATTACCTCAGTGGTTGCAGCAAGGACGATGACCCACGGGCACAGTAATATGACAGAGACAAGGTGAGACAAGGTCTGCAGACGCTTGGCTCCTCCAATATCTAAAGAGAGCTTTCTGGAAGCTGTGTGGAAACCAATATTGAAACAAAAGGCCAACACAAGCAAAAGTACTCCTCCCTGAAAACAACAAAACAGATGTACTTCAATTAGATGATACTTTGTTATGTACAATGCAAAATCATTTATTAAACAACATGAGGTCATAAACACTGAGAAATGACAATATCTAAATGCCAGCATGAAGCAGACTGGCGATCATTAAACTGGGTATACACGGTTAGCTTTTTTACTATTCAGCCCGAAAGCTAAATCTAACAGATTCATCCATCCACGCTAAACGGTGTGGATGGAGGAATGTCCTGCTGCGGCTATTGTATTTTAAGAGTCGGGCCTGCCAGCTGTCAAAATACCTGAACAGTACCTATTGGATGCAGTCGCTGTTTGGTTGACAATTTTCTGCCCAATTTAAATCGAGGGATGTCGGGAGGGGGAGCGGCAGACAGGGTCACTTTCAGCCGATTCATCAAGAGCCGCCGAAATTTATTTAGTGTGTAGCCAGCTTTACGGTAAGCTCACTCCAGCAGTAGTATTGAAAAATCCACCAAACCATTAACCCCAAACATGTTGCTGCAGGTGTAGACAGCCACACAGTCACCCCAAATACACTGCATGGCCAAAAAAAAAAAAAAAAGTCACCACCTGGATTTAGCCAAGCAAAAAGGTCAGAGCCGTCAACTGGATAATAGGTCTAGGTTCAGCAACATTATGTGCCCAAAAAATGAAGTCAGCTCTCCACCTGAATATACTGAATGACCAGGTTTTTACTAAGGCTGCAACAAGGACGCATCCACGCTGCACCTCCTCCCCGCCTCACGCTCACTGCCCGCATCCACGATTGGCATAGGGACGCGTGTAGAAGAAGTAAGGAGGAGCAGGTGTGAGGGGATGACAGCCGCCGACAGACAGGACCGATCTCAGAAGCAAGTTGCTGGAAGACTGCTCAGGTAAGCCTGCACTCCCCCCACATGGTCCTCTATAATGGTGTACATTATACACTGTATGTATAATGTATTATTGCTGGGATTTGTTGTATTCCTATATAGCTGCTGGTATTCTGCATTGCGCTGTATAGAGGACTACAAATCCCAGCAATAATATATTATACAGTGCAATGCGGAATACCACCAGCTATAGAGTACAACAAATCCCAGCAATAGTACATTATACAGAGGTGCAATGCAGAAAACCGCCAGCTATAGAAGACTACAAAACCCAGCAACAGTACATTATACAGCGCAATGCAGAATACCGCCAGCTATAATGTACTATTGCTGGGATTAGTTGTATTCCTCTATAGCTTGTGGTATTCTGCATTGTGTTGTATAATGTTCTATTGCTGGGATTTGTTGTATTCCTCTATAGCTGGTGGTCAATGGATTTTTTCTTCCCTGATGGCACATTGGGCATATTCCAAGATGACAAAGTCTGGATTCATTGGGCTCAAATTGTGAAAGAATGGTTCAGGGATCATGAGACATAATTTTCACACAACGATTGGGCACCAGAGTCCAGACCTTAAACCCATTGGGAATCTTTGGGATGTGCTGGAGAAAACTTTACACAGAGGTCCGACTCTCCCATTATCACTACAAGATCTTGGTGAAAAATCAATGAACCTCTGGACAGAAATAAATGATGCCACATTGCATAAGCTTATTGAAACAATGCCACGGAGAGCGTGTGACTTTTTGTTTGACCAGGTAGTGTGTATAAGTGAATAAATTGCCTTTTTTACATGTGTTCCTATAAGGTTCAAGAACGTTTTCAAGGGTCTAAACTGTAACAAGGTTCAAGAGCCACACAACCTTTCATCACAAATGCCAGTATTATACTGAAGAAGGATAACTGAATTTTACCTTATGATCAGCAACTCCTAAGAGGGAGAATGCTGTGTATAGAAAATGTGTTAGGGCACTGTCATGGTGTCCTTCAGCTGATCAAGAAAAGTTAAGGCAAAATAAAAACAGAACATACATCCAACTAAATGCAAAACATACATCCAAATAAATGCTAAACTAAAAAAAAAAAAAAAAAAAAAAAAAAAAAAAAAAAAAAGAAGAAGAAGACATAAAAAAGTCAGCTATTAAAGTAAACAAAATATATATGCATTCTCCTTAACTTCCTGCACCCCAAAAATCAATGGTACCTTCACTACAAGTCAGTCAGGCTTCATTACTTTCCACAGCACACTGTTACATTTCAGGTACTGGAGTGGGAGATGTTTAAGCAGCTTACAGGAGGAAGAAGGCACAGAAAGGATCTCAGCATTGTGAGAATTCATTCTAAATGCTCTGCCACCAGCAACACATACAGTAAAGCAGGACCTAAATAGCAATGTCCCCATCCAGATACCATGTTACAGGGGATTATAAACCACAAAACTAGCTGAAATAAATGACAAATATATTCATAGTTAAACCAGTTTACATATGAATGTCACATTAAGTATTAAGATGCTTGTCTACAGTTCGCCTTTCAGAAAGTGGTTAGAAAGTGTATGCAGAGGCAATTCTTTTAGTTTTGGATATCTTTGGACATGGTTAGACCCTCTGCCCAGTTTTATAGACGTCTGCCCCTGCTGGGGCACCACCTTTTTTTTTGTCTTGGTGACCACTGTCATGGAAACAGACTATGAGGGGAATTCTACATTTTAGAACTGTTGTGAGAGAAATAGGTAACGGAAAATATTCAAATGGGGACAGACGTTCTGTTGACAGCTGTCTAAGAGGGGAATGCTTTCTCTTTGCGTTTCACCTCCAAGAGAGAAGTAAAGATAGATCTGCTTAACAGGAGACCGATTGCAATCAATAACCTGATAGAGTGTATCTAAAAAAACCCCCCCCAAAACTACCATATCTATACATACGCACTTTAAGTGGTCACTTATACTTTCTGAATTGTTACCATCTCATGCAGTCTTTGACTGTGTCCATTACAACAAGAAAATTGCATTATGGATTAGTAAAATGAAGTTTGTGCCTTGCAAATATTCCATCTCACATGCTCCATAATCTTTACATGGAATATTTCAAAACTCAGTATTGTTTTAGTTATTAAACTGGCAGATTCCAGCTTTTAGTTACCGGTACAAGCTTTTATTGAAGCTTTACAAACATGTCTGAATAAAGATACATGATTGTAATCTATACCTTCAACAGAAAGCAAAGGCTGACTGTACATTGTTAGGCCTTGTTCACACCAAATGCAGAGCAGATCCTATCAGGTTTCTGCACACGCACGCTAGTCTTTTAGATGTGTTTTTTGAAGTTTAAAATGGGCTTTCAGTGCGTTCCAGGCATTTGCATGCGTTTCTGATGCGTTTGCAGATCCAGAGCAGGTAAAATAGGGTCTGCTGCAGTTTTTTCACCTGCTCTGGAACTGCACGCTGCGATGTGAACCGGAGCAAAAAATGCCATTGGAATACATTGGACGTAGTTTTGATCCGGTCTGCAACTGATCTGCTCTGCACCTGCTCCGCGCTTGGTGTGAACAGGGCCTTAAACACTACAATAAGCACCGGAAGAATACAATCCTGCTATATTGAAAATAATCTGATAATTTTTTCTTTGGTTTATATATGCAGCGCTGCAAAAATCTGCATATTAATGTTTTACCCTTTTCAACAAAATGGGAAAAAAAAAAGAGCTTTCATAAATGAAAGGATGTTTTAAAGCAGTACTGGCCCACTTGGTAACTCTAGAAGGCCTCATGTGCCCCAGTCATTTAAACCGAGTAAATACAAGCTTTAAATTTCATCCGATTCTTGATACATTCAGCTGATTAAAGGAGCCGGTTAGAAAATTCTCGGCTGAATTGGAGCTAGCAGCCATAAGACCCCGTCTCCGTTGCAAAAAAAAAAAAAAAGAAACTCCTCTTCGGCCTACTAGCAATGTTTCTTCTAGACATTTACTGAGCCATGCATGCACAGCTCACCCATACATTCTCAGCATGGCTAGGTGACGTTTTGATTTAACATCATCCCGGGCCAGCCAATTAAGATAGGTACAGTATAGATGATGAATTTAGAAGTAGACTGGATAAAGACGTCAGCGTGAGATGGAGCACCAAGGCAGACAGCAGCTGATGCATTGCTGGAAGGGGGAGCTTTGGCAGGCATGCCTGTCACAATATGCAGTATGCTGTGAATGCTTGCACAGCATGTCCGTAGTCCTGGGGACACCCAGGGGACTTAGAGTGACATTAAAGTCACAATTTTTCTCACCTCCCCTGTGCTGCTTTAAGGACTTATCTTAAATGATGCCTCCTAATCTGATCTGCTTCTTCTTTCCAGTAGTTTTGAGGAGTCCCTTAAGTACTGGTCTCTGATCCAGCGCAGACTCCTCGGGTCAATGGTGTCTGTTCAACCTGCAGGCTCAAGGCTGCGTGCATTCACCTCCACTGTATCTCTCCTGGCTGAAGATCTCTACTGCGCATATGCCAGCCCCATTATTCGTCACGACCACTCAAGCAGCTTAAAATGTTCAGACGGGAGCGAGCAGCGGAGACAGAAGTATTTACCCATTTGGTAACTTAAAAAAAAAATGCTTTTGTATATATCTACTGCTTGCTAATATATATATATATAAACAAAAGTGGTATATATCTGTGCATTGTGGTGTACTACAACCCAAAAATGTTGGGGTGCCATTAAAGATGAATGTCACTGCACCACATGCCAAGCTTTACTGTGAGTTAGAGCAAGGCAATAGTGTGAATGGGACATTTGGGTCTATGGAGACAGAGGGAGCTGGACAACAGGAGCCTAGTAGTACCCTACATCAATGTAATACCAGCAGAACTGTGGCAATGAGATTAGTAATAACAGACTATTTAAAAGGGACATACTGTATGCTTTAAGGCCTAATTTCCAACATTACTTCTAATGCAATAGGGCTGTGCAAGTTTCAGTAAGCCATTACTTTGAAATATTCTGCGCTGGGAATAAATCTGAGAAGATCACACAATGAAACATCAATAAAGGATACGGTGTTCTGCGATTTTGGCCATCAGATCATCATTATCAAAGAGAAGTAAACAAATGACAGCTATGATAAAAAAGGCTGCACCCCGAGTCTGTGTAGAAAACAGAAGAGAGCTGTTAAAGCATTAGAAGTTATACCACAAAGGAAAATGTAGAAAATATGAATGTAAAGGCTTTTGTGTAAACTAAATACTACTACCTAAAACAATTCTCAGCTTTAAGTGCAAAGGGGAGGGACAACAACGGTGTTACAATGAACGTCTTATTTGCTCCCTTTTGGTTTGTTAAACATACCATCCAAAGAGTTTTGTTACACATGTTGATCATGTCAGAGTTGCTCTGTGCACACTTCCTGTGATCCCAAGAAGTCTAATTACCTCTCCTAGTTCTCATTAGAAAGCAGGACAAATACAGGGTGATTCACAAAAGGGTGAAGAGTTTGGAGAAGGCGGAGAAGTGAACAATTTAGGCCAAAATAGCCAATTTGGAAACGTTCTCCAATTCAGCTCACTTTCCTATTCAGTTTCCCATCCAATTTCATCTATGTTGTCCTAGATTGTTCCCTTCTCCTGCCTTCTCCAAACTCCTCACCCTTTTGTGAATAACCCTGTTAGTTTCTATGCTGTAGGGATGAAAGAGTGGGAGGGTTTAAGTAATTTAACAAAAAGACATCTGAGCCCTGACACTACTCGGTCCCCTAAAATGCTGCGTTGACAGACCAGAACAAGACTTCAAAGTGGAGGGCATTTGTGGCAGATCAACAGGGATTTGTCTGCATTTAAAGGGTTTTTAAAAAAGGGACAAAACATTGGCAAATTAATTTATAGCAGAGATGTACTGCATGTGTGCTTTTAATCTTGTTCGGACATATGCTTTTTTTGCAACGATTTGTTTTTTCTTTTAACTATACTTGAAAGTAGATGAAGCGCTTTTTTTTTTTCTTCTGCAAGAAAATACCGTTTTAACTTTGTAAAATACCTTGGACCGAACTCCGCTGGAACCAGTGAAAGATCAAACGCTTTTCTTTTTTCAGTGTTGTTAGAGTGGGAAGGGGTTACAACCTTGCCATTTTTCGTTTCTTTTATCTCTACATGTGTCTCTTTGGGGAGATTTCCTGTGAAAGGAAATCTCCCCAATATTTCTAAGATTTCATACTGCTAAACAAATAACGCCAAGTTTACTCCTTGGCAGCACTTGTGCCCCTTCTGCAAATAAGTAGCGTTTTAACTTTGGCAAATACCTTGGATGGAACTCCGCTGGAACCAGTGAAAAGCACCGTTAGCAATGTTATAGCCACAATATCACTGTGTTCAAACAGCAGCAAAGTCCTGCAAAACAAATAGGAAAGCAAATGAACCGGCACATAATAATTATCTTTTAATAATTAGCTTTTGTTGTATAATTATCAGATGGTGATAATTATACAACAAAAGCTATAGAGACTTCTGGAATGGTGTGGAATATCGTTTCTTTATCTGCCTTTCTGTAAAGAGACACCTTTCACCTTCTGTTATTATACAGATAATGTTTAAAAAAGATATTACAAAGTCCACACAAACCATAGAAAAGCTGTGGAACTGAGCAGCTGAATTCACAAAGTTTTCAGCCTCAGGATCCCAGTGTCAGTTTTCAACACTGAAGTAGTAAAATCAGCACACCCCCAAACTGTCATGAACACTTCAGTGTCCCCAACACGAAAACCTAACCTAGCTCTAAACCTTCACCCTAAATGTTAAACTGTGGCTTAAAGTGATCCTTTTATTCTTACACATGACCCTTAACTTATACACACACACATTTACCTGGACACAAATTCCCAACACTAATTTACCTCTTCAACCTCCCATGAGAGCTTACACCAGCAAAAACACTCACAGTGCTGAAAGCTACTGCTGTGGCCTAGGGATGCGTCAGAAATGTATTAAGTTATGTTTAACCTTCTCCGTACTGCCATAGTGCTTAAAACAAAAAATACAGCGCATAGGTGGACAAGTATTCTTGGAGTGCAATTTATAATTGTCTGGTACTCAAGTGGAGTGGTGGCTACTTTACAACACACACAGGGACCATGGGGAACAAAAGTAGCCACCCTCCAGAAGGAAGGACTGTGTCAGCACCAATTCAGAGATGATTTGAGTGATTAACAAAAATGTAGCTTAAGATTCAACTCCTGAGTTTAGTGTTACTATAAGAAAACACAACCAAGTGGTCATTGCACCAGTGATCGGCTGTGATCTGAGCTGCCATTGGACAGCTCAGATCACAGTCACGATGTACACGTCAGGGTTTCTTACCCTTTCTCCTCCAGTCAGCTGCAGTATGTTTGACACTGTTGTTCCTCTTTGGTTCCCTCCTAACTGGTAAATGTCATCATTCCGCAACTCCTGACAAATTTGACCTAGAAACACCAGGTCAGTATTTACCTTCAGCTTGTCCAGTCTCCGCCCTTGCATTTGTTCTGATCTGCAGTTCTTGTTCTCCGTGTATGAACCTGGCTCTGGCTGACTGATCTCCTGGTTCCTGACTCCGGCTATTGTTTCTGTTCATCCTGCTCTCAGTGTTCCCTGACCTGGTTCGGTTGACTACTTGCTTTGGCAACTGACCTCTGGCTTGGCACTGATGACATCCTGGACTTGCTCTATTGTTTTTTGTTATTTATGTTTATTTTTTTATTAAAAACTGTTTCTATTTTTTAAACCTGCATTTTAGGTTTCTGTCTGGTTTCTTGGTTCTCTAACAGTACAGAGCCACATCAGAATGGCTCAGTACTTTTTCATTGCTGTGAACCAATTACAGTCATCACAAGTGTAAACAATAGTTTTACTGTTTCCGCCTACTCACAATGGAGGAAGCCCCCCACCCCTTCCTCCATTGTGAATAAACTATGGGATTGTGTTTTTTTGGTGGGTTTTAAGATGGTGCAAAAACACCGGCGTTTTTTAAACATCACCATAAGAAAGCTGTATCTAAAATGATATAAAATTCATTTGGGTATATTGCTGAGTATTAGTCACTCAGACTATCACAGCACTAAAAACTGAAAAAGAAAGAACACAAACAAAATACATTTGTATGTAAAGTCGACTGAACTTTAGGTTTACTGCTACTTTCCAGTTCAGAGATTGAAGTTTTAATTGTACTAATATTATCTAAACAAAATTCCACTAATCTTTCAGAGAAAAACCCCCCTCCCTGTGAACTTACTTAAAGCAAACAGGTCATAGAACTATAAACCCAAATCCACCCATACCCCATGCTAGGCTACCCCCAGAGTCTAAATATTTGTTTAGCACCATTTCCCCTATGCTGTGATCCCCAGTACCACTCTTAAAATTCCAGGACTTCTAAGTATGGGGGAGAAAATACTATTTACTATACTGATATAGTAATTAGTAGGGTTGCACAGATACCAAGTACAGTACTCGGTACGAGTACATGTACCGATACTTTTGAGCTCCAAGACTAGACTAGAGAAAAATTCAAAAATTAGGAGTCAGCTGTCATTTGTAAGGAGCACACGGAGATCCTGGGATTTGTAAATCTGTTTTAATGTATGATTTTGTTTTTATAAATATAAATAAAGGGATGCACAGATACCAGTTTTGCGAGTACAAGTACTTGCCGAGTACTTACAAGTACGAGTACTGATACATTTTTGTTTATTGTCATGTGACAGTTTTTCTAAAACAATACAGACTAATGATTTCAGGACAGGGGTGGAGCTCCAGAGCCAGGTCCCAGCTGCAACCTCTGGAACCCTGGTAGTTCTCATGAAAATGCCAAGTATCGGCACTGGTACTCGAAAAATATCTGTGCATCCCTAGTAATTAGTATAGTATTCCTCTGTGGCATCTCTTGGACTTCAGCATTTCCCCGCTGGAAGGTCCAACTCATGCAAAAATACATAAAGTTTGACATCCCTTGTCACCCTCCTAAAATGAAGGAGCTGTGCTTCCTCCTTCAGCCACCAGATGAAGTTAGGTATATTGCATGCATAAGATTACAAGTACCAACAGAAAACACCTTGCAACAGAGATACTTAGGATTGTGGGGTTTACATAGTCCTTTTCCTTGTCCTGCCAAGAAGTTATGTTGAGTCATATAATGACAACTATTCAGGTCTGCAAGAGGATCTTGTTTGTATATTCAGGCCTCGGGTGAATCTCTGCAAGTGCTAAAATGTCATGATAATGCTGGTATGTAGACTAAATCTGGAGGGATACAATTACACTTAGGATCGTCAAAAATAAGCGTGTCCATAAAGGGCACAGCTCAAGATTTTTGCATTGCGTGCAACAACCTGGTAAAGACGGGGTAGCATAGGTCCCCCATAGGGGTGACAGTATCATACAGTCAACTAGTTAAAAAGTCTGTGTGAGCAGGCACCAATCTCCTCCTTTCCAATGGAGACCAGGACAAGACTGTCATTACTTGTGCATCCACCAACACAATGGCCAAGTTGGAAGAAACGCCTCAGGGACCTAAAGTTCCAAGAAGAAATTACAGAACAAGAAGACTTCATGTTGAAGTTCATATCAAGAGCTAGTTCTAATAATGGCCAGCCTTAGGCTATTTGGCTGGCACGGGCAAACCCTTCAATGTTTCTGGACACAATAAATATTACAGAATTTTGGTAAAGGGCTTGTTCTCCCCCGAGGTGTTAATGACGTTACTGTAGTGTCTGCTGTTAATAACTACTGATGCAATTCTCATGAACTTCCACTATCCAATCTAGTGTATAATAATGTAACAAAAAAAAAGAACTGAAATTACCTTAATGGTCCACAAAGAGTGAGGCCAAAGAACCACAGGAGTGAGATAATACAGCCAACGAAAGCATGCTTCACAACACTGATCCACTAAAACGAAAGGTTAGGTTAACTACATACTTATGACAGAGCAGACAGGTTATACTGTAAACAAAATATAAAGTGTATTTCCACGTTTGTAATCAAATTTGATAACCCCCTCTATATATTTGTTATGTGTTCCCATTCACACATCATACCGAAAAATGTAGTAGCAGATTAGAAATAGGACTCTCTGGGTTGTTCGCAAGCCATTCTAAATAATCTCAAAGTGGAGAGAGGGACAAACCGAGGGAGAGGTTTCCATTAGAACTGCATTATCATACAATGTACAACCCAAGCCTGGAGAACTTTAACCCTTTGTTAGGACAGACGGTGTGCAAATCTATTTTACAACTGATAATGAGATCTGCCTGCACTGTACAGACGGGGCTAATCATGGTAAGGCCCCATTCACACACGAATCGGCCGGCACGTACAGCTCCTTGCTGCGTGCGGGGCTGTACCAAACAGCTGCCGGGAAGAAGCGATCACCTGCACCCCTACGGATCTGCAATTGAGTTGAGCGTAGGGGGGCGTACAGCTGCGAAGCCCCATAGAGAAGGACGGGGGCTGCGTACTAATGACACGCAGCACCTGTCCTTCCCGGCAGCTGTTTGGTACGGCCCCGCACGCAGCACGGAGCTGTACGTGCAAGCCGATTCGTGTGTGAATGGGGCCTAAACATTAACTCCCCAGCCCAGTTCTTAACACTACATAGAAGGGGAAAGCTAGGTAAGAATTTTAAGCATGTAAAACGTTAGGTGAGAAGGAATGCTATGTGAATGGGAACATGTAACAAATATAAAATAAGTGTAATCCCAACTTTCAGCAAAAGTGGAAAGACTTATACAGGGCAATCTATTTCCACATTCAGCACATGAAGCTTTAGGCTTTGTGCCAAAGTGGGCACAGAAAGCATTTTTTATGTCCTAGTTCAATAAATGACAATAGGTTTTAACATACCAAACTGACTATTTGTGGTCAGTCACAACTCGAAATATGATTTTAAAAATGAACTCCAGCCAAAACTTTTATTACCCTTTGTAGTGTGGCTACCCCCGCACTGCAAGGGATAACTGCCCATTTGTCTCTAGGGGCTAAAAAAAAAAAGTTACGCTCACACCGATGCTCCGAGACAGCTTGCTCTTAGACAGGTCCCTGCATCCTCTCTCCCTTCTCTGCTGTGGTCTAAGGTCGCGTAAATCATCATGTTATATACGCTGTGTATAGATGGGAGGACACTGAGGAACATTCCAATGCTGCAGCGTAGGAGTAGAGAGGCTTCAGAGACCAGAGAAGCAGGGAGTCGGCTCAGTAGTTTTTTTTTTTTTGGTAGCACTTAAGACAAAAACATGCAGTTAACCCTTGCAGTGGCCACATTTCAGCTCTGCAACAACCAATCATTTATCTAGTGCAGTTTTGAACATTAAAGGAGAACTATGAGGTGAGTGCTTTTCACTCATCCTCATAGTTCTAGCCGACCTGTGACAATAAAACTGTCACAGGTCGGCTCAGTAGATCGGGAGGTGAGCGAACACATACCGGCGTTCGCTCACTTCTTGATCCTGTCACGGCACAGAGCTGTGACAGGGAAGGGACTGGATTCCCCCCTCCCCGATCCTCCAGCGCTGACTGGCGGAACGGACGGGGGAGGGTACAGCTGGCTCTGCCTCTAGATAGGCAGAGCCAGCTGTCACTCACAGAGCTGGGCGGATCCAGACATGATTGTCGGGATCCGCTCCAGGTGCGACGTCTCAGTATACCGGGAGCTACAGCTCGCGGTATACTGAGCCTAGGGTGACGGAAGGATGCTAGTTTGTGTCCTCCCGTTACCCTAAGGAGCACTATGGGGAAAAGCCCTAACCCCATAGTTTGCCTTTAAATTGAGAGGCTTGTTAACCCTTTCCTCCATGATTATGAAACAACCACCAAGCAAACCATTCTGTTATATCAACTTACTTGTCGCCTAGTAACGGTCTTCCCAGAAGAAAATGGTTTTTGAAACAAAACCATAAAAAATGCAGACCTGTAGAGAGAAAGCACATGTATTCAAGTTACTTATGTTAGATTTCGAATAGATGCCGACAGCGTGGCACACCGCGTCTACTGTGAAAGACCGAACCAACATTTGCTGTAAAAATCTGCTTGTAACTGGAGCCAGTTCCTCAGAATTTATATCTGTATCTCAACTCAAAAACTTCCCAAGCTCACTCTAAACTGGTAATTAATTAAACTAGGGATGTACCAATACCGTTTTTTTCGGTGTTGAATACCGATTTTTTTTTGGGTACTCGCCAATGCCCAATACCGAAAGTCGCATTAAGGAAGCCAGGCGGCGTGTAAAGACTCGCCACCCAGCTTCGCGATTAGCAGGGAAGCCGTCTCCATGCTTCTCGTCACAAGATGACAAGAAAGCATGTAGCCAGCTTTCTGGCCAGTGACGCGGTACCCGGCTTCCTGTTTTGCCGGGAAGCCGCCTCCATGCTCCCTCGTCACAAATGAACATGGAGCCGGCTTCCTGGACAATCAGGAAGCCGAGCAGCGTGTAATGACTTGCTGCTCTGCTTCCTGATCCCGGAAGCTCGGGCATCGGGCTAGGCATCGGAGCATTTGGTCGAGTACTCGCCCAAATACTCGGCGTCAGCACCGATACTAGTATCGGTGCATCCCTAAATCAAACCCTGTACTGCAACTCATGTTATTTAAAGCTGATCTCCATACAGATATGACATACAAACATGAATGCAGCTCTTTAACCAATATTACATCATTAAATATATTTCAGAAAAGCAAGCAGTGTATGGACCTAAATATATCCTGGTATCTGTCTCCAACATTCCCTATAAAAGAGAACTGAAGAAAGAAGAAGCAGCAGTAGAAACCAATCATGTGCAGACAAGGGGCATGCTCATAGTAAAGTGAAACGCAGATGAGCTCATCACTGTGCTGCTTCTCTTTTCACTGTTCAATCAACGGCTGCTGATGCAGGTCTTGGACAACCTGGGCTCAGAAGTTGGTTGAATGACACTGGACACAGACTGAAGACACCTAGTGGCAGAAAAAGGTAATGCAGGGGGAACGTCTAAACTGAAGGCAAATTTTGCAGCATGAGGGATTTTTTTTTAAAAGAACTCTGGGCAGAAATATCCTTAACCCTTGAAGTGGGGCTACCCCCACGCTGCAAGGGTTAACTGCTCGTTTTCGTCTAGGGTGTAAAATAAACAGTTATATTCATCTGAATCTCTGAGCTAGTTGGCTGGTAGACCGTTCCCTGCAGCCTCTTCTCCTCCGCTCCAGCAATCTAAGGTCCTGCGAGTCAAAACGTCCTATACAGTGTATTGGACGTAAGATGCTGAGGGACATTCCATCGCTGGAGAGGAGAAGGAGGAGACAAGCTGCAGGGACAGTCTAGCTGCAAGCCAGCTCCGAGGTTCAGATGAATATAACTTTTTGATTTTACACCCTAGACAAAAACAAGCACTTAACCCTTGCAGTGGGGTTCTTCTTTAACCTTATTGTTGTTGTCATCGTCTGGAGATCTGCTTTAAATGACACAAGTAGAGAAGGTGAATTATCCTTCTACAGCTCCCACTGCTAACCTCCTTAAAATGCTTATGATCTATGGTCTCTGGCTACAATATTCCTGGCCGGGAACAAGTATATCAGCTAAAGTTACTTGTAACTTTTGATTTACTTGTTCCAAGTCTGTGTCTCAAATGGGTCCATTAATTAATGTTTTCACCCAAGACTCACAGATTTTTTTATTGCTTCAACTCAATAAAAAAAAAAAAAGTGTGTGAATGTTTTGTAAAAGGTGTGACTCTTGGGTAAAAAACATTGATCAATGATAGACCCCAAAGTATTGAGGTAAGCGGTGCTCCCAAAATGTGGGGTAACCTGCGGGTTCATGACTCTAAACATAACACTACATCCAAGTAACAAGCCTGCTAGATAAACTGCAGACTGTCACCACAGCTGAACGGGACCCTGTGAGGGTCAGCCATTGCTGGAGGTCTTTCTGACAGTGTAATCTTCAGGGCTGTCATCCTTATTGCTCCAGCCAGTGAAGTTTCAGGGCACCTGCTATGCATATACCTATTGCAAGCTGCTGTCTTCCCACGTTAAGGAGGATAAGGATGACAGCCCCTGAGCCTGCTCCTTTAACAAGTTACAAATGGCAGGACCTGTATTTCTATCTGATTAAGTTCCTCTGCAGGCGCATAGTCACGCATATCTATTCTGCCAGAGAAAATGTCAGCAGGACTGACCGAGCATTTCTTTTTTTATCTGTCAACGCTGAGAAGCATTATCCAAAAAATAAACACTTGCAGTCAAACACTGGATCTGTCCCAACATTCCGCTGCTAAGTCAAACCGGCATGAAAAGGCCTTGTGTGCACAATACAGGACTAAGGAGCAATGTGTCCAATGCACAGGAGACTTACACCCCGTGTCTAGTTATTATTTTCACCAACACCACTCCCAACTAAATCCTTATCTTTAGTTTTGTGGGGGAGGGGGTGGAACTCTGTTGTGTTTTCCTTTGTTGTGAAATCACTATCTGTGATTTCCTTTGCTTTTCATCCCTGTGGCACCAAAACAAGAAATGGAAGAGCAGGTGTCACCAAGAGACAAAGGCACAGAGAGCAAGAGCAACCCTCAAAAAGGGTCTCCGCTATCTCTGTAAAAAATAAGTCAAGGCAACTGGGCTTGCTGTATTTTTCTTGAAGATGTTTCACTGGTCATCCGACCAGCTTTCTCAATTCGTAATTGAGAAAGCTGGTTGGATGACCAGTGAAACATCTTCAAGAAAAATACAGCAAGTCTAGTTGTCTTTTCTAAAGCTGGCTATACATTGCTTGAATTCCAGCCAAGGATGAAATGTGAGCAGTGTGTGGCCCTGTCAGTATGTTTCAATTCGACAAAAGTTGATTTTTCAATCGCCTTTTGGCAAAGGAGCCGGTCCAAAAATTCTGGACTGGAGCAGCAGATGTGCTGCTGTTAGAATGCAATAGCTTGGAGGCGGGAAAGAGAGATTCCCCCATCCATGCATGGGGGAAATCAATCCAGAGTGATCCCAGATTTCCTCCTTCATCCAGCACCAGCACTGGTCTTCAAGGTAGGAGGACACGGTGTCATACTATCCATTTCCTGTGAGCCCAGCCTGTTCCAAGGGGGCATGTCATTAAGCAGGCTGGACTCGCAGTGATCCAAGACTTTACCATTACATGAGAACTGCCCAGCCCTGGAAGAATGCCAGGAAGGCGTCAGGGAAGATGGGTGGCTGGGAAAAATCCCGGAGTTTGCATTTTCTAGCAATTGAACTGACATTGAATAAATCATCTCACATTTAGGGCTCAATTAATTAAAATGTGAAATGAACCTTAGCATGATTTATTCACAAATACGGTGAGGTAAAGTGTGTTCACTTCAAACATCCAATTAAGAAAAAAACATTTCTTTTTTTTAAATAAGCTTCCACAGGATTGGATGTTTGAAGAAAACACAAGTCCACCTTCCCTCGCTTCACACAATAGTAGATCAGGTATGTGGCTTCTTCCTCTGGCCCCTACATTACAGAACACAGGGGGTCAGAGGATGGAACCACAGCATGTGGCAGGGGGCACAATCATCTGACTCTTCTGAAAGTGCTGTAACAGAGGGAAGGTAGGAGACCTGGCTGCTGGAGAGGCGACGCTCCTTCTATGGCAAGGAGTGAGCATTTAGGATCTTATTAATACAGTAACACAGGGCTGGACTAATCCCAGGAGCCAGGTCATCAATGCTTCTTAGAAATTACAGCTGGCCCCTAACTTTTGAGTCTCTCTAGTTGTTGTCAATGGAGCGGAAATTCTGCTGGCTCCTGGATTGGAAAGCCCGGCTCCTGGATTCCGTATTATTTGTCCACCCTGGCTCCTGGATTCCGTATTATTTGTCCACCCCGGCTCCTGGATTCCGTATTATTTGTCTACCCCGGCTCCTGGATTCCGTATTATTTGTCCACCCCGGCTCCTGGATTCCGTATTATTTGTCCACCCCGGCCCCTGGAATGCCAATTATTTGAGCATTTAGGATCTTATTAATACAGTAACACAGGGCTGGACTAATCCCAGGAGCCAGGTCATCAATGCTTCTTAGAAATTACAGCTGGCCCCTACCTTTTGAGTCTCTCTAGTTGTTGTCAATGGAGCGGAAATTCTGCTGGCTCCTGGATTGGAAAGCCCGGCTCCTGGATTCCGTATTATTTGTCCACCCCGGCTCCTGGATTCCGTATTATTTGTCTACCCCGGCTCCTGGATTCCGTATTATTTGTCCACCCCGGCTCCTGGATTCCGTATTATTTGTCTACCCCTGCAGTAATGACTCCAAGTCCAACTGAAAGATCATCACTGAAAGGTCAAAGTGCCTGTATGTAGATCCCAGATAGGGTGCTGTCACTTAACAAGAAGCATACTTACCCTAATTTTAATATAAAGATAAACTGTACAATATGGACTACTTTTAATAGGTCATATGATTCGAAGATCCCAAGGGCCTTCAAGAACTTGGTGAAGCAGAGAAGTACAATGTATCGGGTCAGCCTGCAAAAAGAAAAGACAGAAGTACATTATTCAGATCCCCGAGAGTAATATCAGAGCTGGAAGTTACATTGGTACTACAATCATACAACGGCACTGCAGTGGTACTACAATGGCTCTTCTAATAATCTCTGTCTGGTCCGTTATGAAACCATAGTTCCCAGGCCAGACTTGTACTAGCTTCAGTTGCCACGTTTTGAGACATCCTTCAAGATAATATGACGGGGGATGTTGTTAGTTGGACCACTGTGTGTAAGTTTTACTACTCTGACCATGAGTGGGGTTACTGTATGACTTTATACCACTGCACTCGGTGACAAACTATGCAGACCAGGGGTGGGCAAACTCCAGCCCCCAAGCTGTGCTGAAACTACAAATCCCATCATGCATTTGTCTTTGGGAGTCATGCCTGTGGCTGAGACCCTTGCAATGCCTCATGGGATTTGTAGTTCCACAACAGCTGGAGGGCCAGAGTAATGTAGACCAATGTGTATGGTTGTTGGCTCCTTTCCTTCTGTATTATGCGAGAGCTCATCCATATAATCCTTGGAACCTTAAACCTCCCTAACTAATCAGAAAGCATTTCACTATACCCACAATGACATGCCCCCCCCCCCCCCCCACTCAAAACCCAAAAAACCCCCCCCCTATTAGAATCTGAACCACATTCTACAATCTGAAATGGTTATTCCCCCCAAGGTTGATCTTGCATTTGTGTGCAGAGGGTGGCGGGTTGCGTTGACCACCTATGACCGGTGTCTCTGGGACCTCTGATGGTACATTTTACAAACCAGAAGGTGATTTAGGGAGCGTCACTCTCACCGCTGGATGTGGGGACCCATTCACACTGCAATAAATACAATATAATGCATCATGTCCAACTTCCCCATAACAAAAAGAGTGTCTGATCACATCGCAGTGTGTTTTGTCCATTTTGGGAGGAATCCACGTGGGGGGAGCAGTGACTGACAGTCATCGCTCTCTGCCGGGAGAAGCCGGGAGCTGAGCGATCAGCGGTTTGTGATCGCTCAGTTCTTTACCTATAGAGACGACATGTGACAGGAACAGTGTCCCACACTGGCTCAAACTATGGGGAAGAGTACATGTTACTGGCTTTATAATCACTATAAAGAAGAACTGCAGGAAAACTAACCATTAATCCTTGCAGTGGGGCTACCCACACACTGCAAGGGTTAACTGCTCGTTTAGGTCCATGGGTTAAAATGAAAAAGATATACTCACTTGATCCTCAGCCATGTTTGGCTGTTAGACCAATCCCCACAGCCTCCTCTCCCCTAAGCTCCAGAGGTCTAAGGACACTTGGCATTGTCACATCGAATGCAGCTAAATTAGATGTGAGGAAACAGAGGGACATACCATCACCAGAGTGGAGGGGGAGAGAGGTAAGTGCTGATTGCCCCAGGACTGAGGATGGGTTGAGTATATCGTCTCTATTTCGGCTTCTAGGGAAAATAAAACTTAATGAGTGCAGTTCAGGGGTAGTCCCACTGCAAGGGTTAGATTTCCTGGTGTTCTTCTTTAACCCCCCATCCCCTGGGAGCATAGAGAAAACATTACCCCATTCCCTGCTGAGAGCAAATAAAACAGTGTGTACGGCCAGATATGGGAGGAGCATGTGACAGCACTGAGCCAATCAGCAATCACCAGAACTGTCACATGGGGAGAGTCCCTGGCTCTGTGTAAGCTAGGACTTCAGAGATTTGTAGTGCTCACATGATGGCCTCTCCTATAACCGGAAGTGAAGGTATGCAGTGCTCTGGAGGGTGGGAATAAAGGGATCCTGTCACTTATCATGGACTGAGCTCAGGTTCACTTCACTGCCCTAATTACACAATACATGACATGGTCACCTGGACTCCGGAGCATCCACAGGACCCAGCCTGCCCGTACTCATCACATTGCTGCTGTACTTGTCCTCCATGACTCTCCCCGGACAGCCCGATACGTGGATCCTGTGCAGGAGAAAGGACACCTGGCTGTCCCCAGCACTCTACAGCCGCTGCTCCCCGCTCTCGGCGGTGTCTGTCCGGGAACACATGGAGGCAGCGAGGTGACAGCCGGGCACAGGAACCATATTCCAGCTTCCAGCACTGCCAGCTAGCCGGCCCGTACTGATGATGGAGCAGGAAACGTCAGCGGGTGGGTGACGTCACCAGACTACAGGGAGGCGGCGGGGACAAGATGGTTCAAAAGTCAAAGTTGCCACATGGATTTTTGATAGGATCTGTGCTTTCTATGTAAACCATGTACTCGATGAGCTGGACTAGAAAAGAACGATCTCTACTACGAACGAACTACTCCAGCAGTGTACAAATGGACCACCTGCAACCTGGAGTTAAGGTTGCCACCTTTTTTTAAAGCGAAACCCAAACGCTCTAGCGATGCCCTGACATTTTTTGGGGAGAAGGAGTCCTGGCTTATTCATATGTAAATAGCGCCCCCCCCTCCCCATTCATATGTAAATATCACAGCTGAGACTATTTTCAGTGGGGGGCCAGTAGCCCCTATCTTAATTTTGGTTGCCCCTGTCTGTCCGACATCTTGTGTCTAGGTTCCTTCTGCCATAAAACCCGGACTGTGCAGGAGAATCCTGGACACGTGGCAATAGGGTTGCCACCTGTCCAGGATTCATCCGGACAGTCAGGGTTTTGAATGCTGTGTCCAGGTTTCATGGCAGGTAAAACCCGGACACATGGTGTCAGGCAGACAAGGGCAACCAAAATTAAGATTTGGCCCCCCACTAAAAATAGTTTTGACCGTGAGATTTACACATAAATGGGTGAAGCTATTAACATATGAATATGACAGGACTCATTCTCCCAAAAAAAATTCCTTGCGTCACTAGAGTGTTCGGGTTTTGCTGGAAGAAAAGGTGGCAACCCTACCTGGAGTGTAAAGGTGCCCATACACTGCACGATTCTCGTACGAGAATCGCGATAAATCCCGTGATCGTACGATAATCGTGCAGTGTATGGAAGGCGTGCGACCGTTTCTACTGTACGGTCGCACGTCTTCCGTCGAACAAACAGGCTGGAAAACCCGCCGGGAATCGTACGATTCTCGGCGAGTTAGTGGCCTGCTTGTTCGACAACTGCCGAACGGGCCGGTGTGCGCACGCGCACACTGCCCATTTGCAGTCATCGAAAGCCCGCCTCTCATTGCAGTCATCGCAAGTACGATCGCAAGTACGATCTGCCTGTCCAAGATGGGCAGATCGTACGTTTTTTAAAGTACTTTACAACCCTCGCAAGACAAAAGTCTTGCGAGGGTTGTAAAGTGTATGGCCACCTTAAGCGAGACGAGCTAAGTGCATAAAGCCTGCTGGAGTGAGGAAAATAGTATTACAGTGTATTCCTCTAGACCTAGGGGGTGATATAAGGAGCTTCCTACAGAGTACAGCGGGCCGAATGCCTTCCACGCTGCATTACTGACTCTAGATGGAACTGAGGAGCATAGGAAATGCTCTTTGGCTCCAGTACTGGCAGTAATGCCTTGCAAATGACATTTACACAGCAGCCCATAGACCTAAACATTTAACCCTTGCTGTACGAGGGCAATGGAAGGGAAGTTTCTTTAAAATCCTAGAGTTGTGATTTAAGAAGAAGACCTCAGCAATGAAAGCCTTTATACTTCCTTCATGCAGATCTCCTTATTATTGCAATCTTGGAAATTCACACCAGCAGAGCCCTTCATACGCAATCTAGTAGCTCTCCACAAAGAAATCTGTACTAACAGAAATGCTAAAAAACTATACTGTTACTTAACAACAAGCCAGTTCCTCATCTACCAAATACCAGCTACAAGGGAAGCTTCTAAAGGAATCCATTTGGGGAACTGAGCCGAGTCTCAAATCAGTACATATGAAAAAACGAAGATTTATAGGCCATGACAAAGTAGAAATGTATAACCATATATAATAATATGAGCATCAAATGTATATGAGTAGGTAAGCATTCACATTGGGCCTGAAGCTCTAATATTAGAAAGGTGTAAATGAGCTAAGGCTGGGCAGACACCTTTCAACCATTGCAAGACTTTTGTCTTGCAATGGTTGTAAGGTACTTAAAAAAACGTACGATCTGCCTATCTTGCATAGGCAGATCGTACTTGCGATGATCGCAAGCCACGCCCCCCGAGGGGCGGACTTCCGATGACCGCAATGTCGAACGGGCAGTGTGCGCTTTTATCTTACGAACATGCTATACACCCGCCGAACATCGTACGATGCTCGGCGGGTTTCAATAATGTCCATAAGTTTAAAGTCGTGCGACCTTACAGTAGTAGAGGTCACACGGCTTCCACACACCTTACGATAATCGTACGATCGCGGGATTTCCTGCGATTATCGTACGAATATCGTAAGGTGTGTGGGGACCTTTAGAATGGGCTACATAATCTATCACTGATATACTACTAACACTACTACAAGAAAAAAATGGTTCTCCAGAGGAGTGGTGGTGCAGACTTTAGGTCAATCAGGTGTAACAGTGAGGTATGGGCAGGACTGGCAAACAGACACTACACATGTATCATGGGAAGACCGCTTAGTCACAACGTGGTCTTACTGCGATACGCATGGAGCATCTGTTCTCCATGGGACTGCAGGTGACATGTGATTATAACTTACAATATTCATAATTTAAATAAATAAAACACATACGCTATATTTTGTTATTTTGGCAAATATTGGCAGCGGCATTTTATTAGTGTAATAAATCTGTTCTAATCTTTATTAACCATAACTTAAACATTTACCAACCATTAAATCGTTATAACCAACCAATTGCCCAGTTATAAAAACTCGAGCAATACATCACTCAAGGGTATAGTCCCCCTCATATGAGGTGACAAACCGCGACTAGGGAGGGGGGGAGGGGGCTTGCTGAACTGTGATCCGGACTGATGTGTCTTCTCCGAAACCTTCCTTATATAGGGTAACTGTAGAACCTTCTAGAAGTCCTCACGGAGATGTTTTTCCGCCGAAAAATCAGGCTGAGGTCAAGACTCTCCCAAGACAAGAATGATCAAAGTCCAGGGAGAGGTTGAGGCAGACAACATCCAGACAGAAGCCAGGGCCGGCAGCAGGCTAGAATATCAGGAACAAGCAAGGACAGCAATGAAAGCAGAAGATACAGGCATGATAGATACAGGCAGAGTTAGGCAATCCAGGTCAGCAGCGATAAAGGCAGAAAAATAGTAATCTTATGTACAAGGTAGCTTGCAAGAGGTCACAGCACTGGCCACCATAAGAGAAGGAGCTTAAAGAACCTCCTTAGCATCTGTGAATGCCCAGAATCATGAAAGCATGCCAACATGGGAAGGCCCATGCTTACGCACATAACCATCCATAGGCAAAAGGTCACAAATTGGTACACACGCAACCTTCTGGATACAGAAAGGACGGGCCATGGCCCTGGATATACAGATGCAGATTTTACACTACTGTAACGGCACCTCACCAATGATGATGACATGTAAGGAGGCAGGGAGCTGTGCTGGAGAACTGACTCGAATTTCCTAGCAGGGTCAAAGGCACATTGCAAGTGAAAGAAAAATAATTTCTAGAAAGAGAAGCTATTTTCAGCCGTTGCTTCGACCGGTATTTTGCCCATAGCACCGAGTTCAGACAAAATGTTTAGTCGACCTAAATTTCGTTGCATCCTTACTGTTAAAACATCATCATACAACCCTCGCAGGGTTTTACAGTGGTGGTACCATGATGATGAAAGGGGCAGCAACAAGGCCAGCCACCTCCATGGAGAGCAGCTTTTTTACACTTGTGGCATCTGCTCTGATCAGCAGGGGACCCATGTATAGATTCCCTGCTGATCAGAGCAGCATGGAATGGACGTCACCTTTGTGACATCTATGTCCATTCAGTTTGTTCCTCCATCTTGCAATGGAGGGAAATACTGAGCTGTTGGGACCCATGTTAGGTTTATGGGGAGTCAGATGTAAGTGGACATATGTCCATTTACATCCTTTTACCATCCGTCAGGTTCAGGTCCACAAACACCGAACTCTTTTCTGTTTTTTTTTTGTTTTTTTTTAGACTTGGGGTTGGAGTTAATCAGATGTAAAGGAACGCATGTCAGTTTACACATGCTTGCCTATAGGCTAACATTGTACTTCCGGTCACGTGACAGCACAATCAGGTAAGTAGACATACACATGCCTGACTGTATAATCTCTGTGCAATCAACTTAAGGCCCCGTTCACACCAGGGCGTAGCAGGGAACGTGCGCTGCTTGAATGCTCGTTCCTCCACATTTGCGGGACTTTGTTTCCCGCATTTGGAACATGTCCCAATTGATACCCATTGGGTCCCTGGACACATGCCAAAAACCCGCGTTTGCTTGGCCATGTTTGGAGTGCCATTACCCAGTAATGACAACATGTTTATCTTTGTGCATGTATCGTGAACGTGCTCTTTCAACACACATTCAAGATAAGCCCTGGTGTGAATGGGTTCTTGAGGGCTCATTGAATGCATTACTTTTTCTAATCACACTGCACCGCATTGTGATTTCATCCGTTGCGTCTTGATCGATCACATTGCAAGTGGAAACTGCGTTTGGGGTGCCATTCAAACAAATGGCAATGCAACACACATCCTGTATTTTTAACGCACGGTAAGTGTATTGCACGGAACTGCATGATTAACTCATTACACCAGTGTGAATGGGCCTTATATCTATCAAATTTAGATCCAATCAAATTGATATCCAATTAGGCAGACCCTTGCATTACATATTAGTTGGTACATATAAAGGAGAATGTACAGTCAGATTGTAACATCTGTGGTGCAATTTAAAGGCTTTTTTTTGTACCGAATGGCTAGGAGTGAGTTGAAAAATTTGGTGGCCTTTTCCCCCAGAATTAACCCCTTAAGGAGTCATGACGGAATTTTTCCGTCATGGGTCCTTAAGGGGTTCTTAAACAGACTCTGTTTACCTTTGTAGAGCCGGCTGTCGGCTTTACAATAGAAGCGATTCTGGCGACTCAGCTGCTGATTGCTTTTACGGGCCGGTAAACTGCCCGCCCCCCCCCACCCGACACCCCTGCTGTGTTTCCAAGGCTCCGCTTCCCCTCCTGCGGGCTCGGGACCGGAATGTCGGGTGCCAGTGGGGAATCTGGGGAGGAGAGCAGCGAACTTCCATTCACCAATCTGCTCCCCGCACTATGA